AGTAAGATGATGAGTTCTTTGGGCCATCTGTAAGACCTTCGGGCATGATGTTTTCATATGGTGTTAAAAAATAAAATAAAAATAAAAAAATGCTAAAAATGAGAAGTACAAAAAAAATGAAAGAAGTCAAAAAGGAAAATAATAATAAATTCCTAGATGTGATAATTAATAGTATATGTATTCTTCTTAGGTTCTTCATTTGTGAGGTTGGAGCGAGCCAGATGATAAGATTTTCCAAATACTCATAGAGGCAATCTGTTAGATTGTAAGATGAGAGGAAGAAACGGTAGAGGATCAAGGAAGAACCTTGGTGTGAGATCAAGCTTAAAGAACTGGATATGGAGACTCAGCCAAGAGAACGAAGCAAAGATGACGTCATTTGCAGCAAAGACTCGATGATTCAATCACAGAATGAGGTGAATCAACATTTTCAATAGAAGGGTTCGTAATGAGAAGAACTCATCTGATAAGGGAGAAGAAGTTTATAATGAGAAGAACTTATTCAACATTAACTCGATTCCATCACATAAGGAGTTGGATCAACATTAGCACTATGATTGATTCAATCACATAAAGAGTTGAGTCAACGTTTTCGAGAGAATAAGTCCATAATGAGAAGAACTTGTACAATCAAGTCTTACCCATTGATGAAAGAGGTGCATTGACATCCCTAGTGAGGATTTGGTAACGAGAAGAACTCGTAGCTCAACAAATAGAGATCACGTTGAAATATCATGCTTTATGTCTTTACTCTATTCCAGTTCTACTACAATGAGAAGAGAATGGCAACTGTAATCACCATTTTTTAACTATTTAAATATTATTATTATGTTATTATTATTATGTTATTATTATTATACAAACTCAGTGCCCAATTCCAAACCAAAACTCGGGGCCCAAACCAAAACCCTAGCCTAAACTAACCCTAACCATAGCAGCTGCTGCCCAAGCTTATGACGTCGTCGATTTCAGCAAGCAACTCTGTTGATGTCGCTGCCCGTCGTCCGTAAGGTCAACCACCTTCCCTGTTCCACCATCATCACCTCAGTAACAACAAAAGGAAAAATCAGATCAAAACCAACCAAAACCTAAAAAAATATGGGGAATTAAAAGGCGCAAAACATCAAAAACAGTGATGGTCAGAAGGCAGTAGATTAGGTTTTAATTTTTTATTACATCTCTGTAAACTCATGTATAAAACCCAAAAATCAGCATGTAAAGGGCATTTTTCCTTCATTTTCAAAAAGAATACCAAGCAAAAATTTTAAGGTAGTTTTTTTTCTTTTTTGTTTTTTTAAAGTTTTTTAATATACAAATCAAAGTATAAAAATATAAAAAATAACAATAATAAAAGGAGGTATAGGGGTTTACCTTAGGGGGAGAGTTTATCATCAGGATTTGGTCATCGGAGATTGAAGAAGCGGAAGGGTCAAAGGCTATTTTTTGGGGTTTAGGAGCATTATTTGTTAGTTTTAGGCTTAGATCTGTGTAGAGGGGTTTAAATCGAGCGATCTAGGGTAGTTTGTGACAAGGTTTGGTTAGTCCGACCACCGTCGGCGGTGGTCAAAGGCGATAATGGGCCCCAATATACGGAGGACACGACTGATTTCTGGATTGGTAGAAATTCGGCCGAGTAAAGGGAGAATAAAGAGTTGAGAGAAAAAGGAAAGTTTTTTTTTTGGGATTTTTGGCTACAAAATGTAAAAAAAGGACAAGTGGCTTTTATAGTATAAACTTAGGGTTATGTAATTTTAGATCCCTCTACTTTTACCGTATTTTTGCACTTTGGTTACCTACGAGAACCAAATATGTTATTTTCCCTTTTTTATATTGCACTCATTTCGTTATTTCCCCTTTTATGTGTGTTATGTGTATTGGTATATTTGCTTTTTAGTAGCCCTAATTTTAGCATATTTTTGCATTTTAGCCACTGATTTTGGATTATTTTGGTCTTATTTCGAATCTGGTTCATTGATTTCATTTTGTTTATATTTTGATCACTTTTTGTACTTTATTTTATTTTAATTTTGATATGTTCATTTATTTGTTTACATTCTAGTTATATTTACATTTTGTTTTATTTTAGATTTGGCATGCTTTCATTTTTAAATTTAATTTGGTCATCATTTCTGCTACTTTATTTGCTTTAATTTAGCTATTGTTTTATTATTTGTGGCATTTTGGTCACTGTTTTTTTTATTTATTTGTTTCAAATAGAATGCTTTAATTTTGTTATTTTCTACTTATTTATCGTTATTAAAATGTTGATATTAAACACTAATATGACCTTGTAGCGACCCGCCTTGGGTATGATCCACATTATTCATGGTCCGGATAAAATTAAATTAACCCGTAACCTCTTTTCTTATTCGATTAATTTATTTTTCATTATTTACATTTTTACCCTTTAAATTTTTATTATTTTAATTTGTGCCTTTTCTTTTCAGCATTTACATTTCAGCCCTTTAAATTCCATCTTTGATTTTCTACAATTTCCTAATTTAAGCCTTATGTTCTAATTTATTTCATTTTAGTACCTTACTTAATATTTTAATTTTAGTTCTAAATTTTTAAATTGTTTCAATTTGGTCCATGTTTATATGTTAATTGTTTTTTATTTATTTAATTGTTGTCTTTAATTTCAATTTCGTGAAATTATCCCTAGAATTTTATATTTTTAAATTAAACCTTTTGATTTAGATTTTTAATATTTTAGTCCCAATCTAGATTACTTTTATTTTAGGTTTAATGCTTAAATTAGGTGAATTCTTAATTTGGTCCTCGCTTTTGCTCGAGGTTCCAAATTAATTATTTGATCGCATAATTGATTAAAATTAATTAAGATTAATATTAGAGACTCCATTTTAGGCTTAATTTCACATTTAGTTCTTAAATTAGGAGAATTCTTAATTTGATCCTCGTTTTTGCTCGAGGTTCCAATTTAATTATTCGAATTCCATAATTGATTAAAATCGAGTAGGGTAATGTTTAGAGCTTCCATTTTAGGTTTAATTTAAACTTAGTCCTTTATTCTAAGGAAATTTTTGATTTGGTCTTCGCTTATGCTAGAGGTTCCATTTTGGCTGTTCAATTCGATAAATTACCAAAAATGATTAGGATTAATATTAGAGCCTACACTTTTTAGGTTTAATCCCCTAGATTCTTTAAATCTCATAAATTGACAGTTTAGGTTAGGGGAAGCCTTAATTAAATCATCTAGCATAATTAGGTATAATAAAAAGTTGTTTGCTTGCATCTGATTTAAAATAGTAAGGCAATATTCTCTTATTAGGGAGTCAATAGTATATATCCCGTGAGTGTGCTCAGGGGGTGACTATTGGTGATTCCCGAAATAGGTCGACATCCTTTTCAAGTCCGCATCAGGATTTCTAAAATATCGAGGCAATGTTTGGTTGTTGGGCACAATAGTTGATCTCAAGCATCCATGCTAGGGGGCGAATGCTATTGTCTTTAATAAACGAATACTTTTTTCAACTTTGCATCGTAAATTATTTTAAAATTAGATAAAGTTCAAATTCAAAACTTTCGATTCTAAATATAGGGCAATCAACTAGGTACCAATTTTTTGGCGCTATGGGGGTGCTAATCCTTCCCCACGCGTAACTGACTCCCGAATCTATTATGGTTTCCGTAGACCCTAAACTTGGTATTTTGATAAAAAAAAATGTTTTATTAAAATCATATGGTTTTTGTGGTGTCCCGATCGCACCTTAAAATTATTAGTGGCGACTCCTCACATTTCAAAACTTTTTCAAAGAAAACCCCTAAGTTATACTGGTTTTTCCCCACCCGAGCGAAAAACTGTGTCAACAAGTCTAATTCACCTTCTCCCAAGTTCAACATTTTGCAAGTAATTAAAATTAACTCTCAAGGAGGGATGGATCCACAAGTATTAGAGTATGGTTACATTTCTAAAATTTTTAAATACTTATATAATATTAATTTATTTTTTATTTTTTTTAATGATTTAATTTTATATTTTTAAAATTTTATACTTTCATATCTCATAAAACTTTAATATCAAAATTTATATTCGTTACATAAAATTTTACTTCAATCATGCATATCCCAAACTTCCTTAGCAGAAAACCAAAGACGACGAGCCTTTAGAAATTGCAGAAGCCCTCCAAGTTTAAATATCTTAATACACACTCTATTAGGAGTATTTAAAAATATCCGACCCGCTTCCGCCCGGTAGTTTTATTATATATACATATATTAGTTTAAATTATATTTTTATTTTAGGTTCCTTAATATTTTTACCTTGAAACTAAATTTAAATCCCTAAATTCTTTATAGGTTTGTATTATTTACTTTTAGGTTTTAATTTTTTTTAAATGGTTTTTATTTATTTGTCAATATGAGATTCAAAAGAAAAAATCACGACCGATATTAATATTTTTTAATATTTTCTTTTGGAAATAAACTTTAATATATATATATAATATTTATCCTTAAAACTAACTTCATATCACTAATTTTGGTGTATGGATTGTGTGTATTATGAACTTTTAAATTTTATGTGTTTTCTATGTAATTTTTTTTTAAATGAACTAAGTATTAGTGACCCGAAAATGTAAATACCCGAATTTTATGAATACTCGCTACCGGGTACTCGAACTTAACGAGATAGATCACGGGCAGACAAATCTACTACCCGAAAAACCAAATACCCAAATTTAAACACCCTACACTCTGCTATCCAACTTTCTATACGACAGAAACTCCCATTGTGAATCAAGAGATTATTTCACTGATAAAATTTTATTAAAGAAATACTTTCTAACATCAAAGGCTTTAAAATGGAACCCATAAAATGCTCTCTTTTCAATACATTGCAAATTTGGACCCTATTATTTTAGGCCAACAAACTAAGCCCAGTGACCATTATCTCACCACACCACGTTTCCTTCATAGCTTTAGAATACAGAGTACATATGCTACTCTAAAAGTTTGCACAGTTCACATAAAATCTTGACTCCGTCTCTATTCTCGAGTAAAAATATCTAACGGGAGGGAGAAGCATGAGCAGGTGACATCAAAGACAAGTGATGGCGATTTGGACTCTTCGATGTTGATCCACCATGGCTACCCCTCTTTGTGGTTTTCCTTCGAGGGCTCCAATTGCCACTCCCTAAAGCAGCTTTGGAAAGGCTATCACTCACCACTTCCCTTCCCCTCTGTGGCTTAATGGGCTGTTTGTTCAGGTACGTGAGCTTAGGGAGTAAGCTAACAACCGCCTTGCGCAGTTGATCGTCGCTAATGTTGCTTTGAATCGGATTTCCCAATAGGTTTAGTGCTTGCAATGAGTTGTAGTTTGCAACGAGCTGACCCGGTGCTTTCGTTGTTGTTATCTTGTTGAAACTCACGTCTAAGACTGTTAACTTCAACAGCCTATGTAGGCCTTCGAGATCGCCGATCTTGTTCCCCACTAGGTATAGTTCTTTGATCAAGGTGCAGTTTGATAACCCTGTGTACAATGTCGGAATTATAAGCATTTCATGGAGGAAAAAAAAGATGGGTTCACTAGTTGATTTACCATGTCCGATTCGAGCAATGCGGTTATAACTGAGGTCCAAGACTCGTAATCGCCTTAGATCTCGAAGTCCTTCGATGGAGTTGATCTTGTTTCTTGACAAGTTGAGTGAGTGAAGGCTCTTTGGCAGTGATCCTGGAGTGATATGGCCTGTTGAAGCAGGGGCATATCTGAGTCTAAACCAATTAGCATATTAATGAATCATGAATTTTTTTTAAGAGATTTACCTATGGAGTTATTTGATAAATTGACAGATCGAAGTCTGGTGAAGCCTGTGATGATTGGAATGGCTTTCAAACATACTCCTGAAATGTGAGCAACAGTTGAGTAGGAATTGAGAGTCTGAATGACATTATCGGCATGCAGAATCGACTCAGAGAGATCGGTATCCGAACGGTGATGCGTGTGGGCTGTGTTTCTTCCTGGTGATTTATCATTACGAGGAGGAAAAATTGCACCCTCTTCACCATTCACATCATCAGAAGGCTGAGCAGTTCCGATTTCGAGATCTGTCACCCACTTGTCGACTCTCGACATTGAAGATGGCGTAGCAGGGAAGGCAACCCATTGTTTCTGGGGCCATAAACCAGAAACTAGTCCATTATGAAAACCATTCCAGCTCGTGTTGTCATCAAAATGACCACTAAAATCTTTATTCAAGGACTCTCCAGTAAATGATCCAGGTGATTCCATTCTGCTTAGTTTCATTGCTTGATGTACCTCAACTGTATCCGAAGAGTACCCACCATGCTGGTTTGAAGTAGCTGAGATGGTAAGATGCCGTGCCGGTTTCGTTGTCCAAAGTTTGTGCAAGTTTCGGTGGCTCCATAGGAACAATTTCCACCATAACCTTCTGCTTCTCGAAGGCAGAACTTGACTAGAAGAATGTTTTTTCAACATTACTCTATCAGCACTGCAATGAGTCATTGCAGAAGCCGGACTCGAAGGCAACCCTTGCGATTCTTCGATGGATTTATCCACCTTTCTTTGAATATACCGAGCCTCTAAATTTGAGCATGATCGTTTAAGCTTCGGAGGAGCCCGGAACTCAGCCCTGCTGATCCCTGGATCACTGATATGTCCACTCTCTATCATTTCAACAGCTTTTTCAACATCTTTTTCAGCTTGAAGTGAATCAGGAGAAGCCAATATTTTGGTTTTGAAATCGAATTCTTCGTATTGTGGATCAATCGCCGAGAATTCTCTCTTGATTGATGCATGTTCTTCATGTTCATCTTCAGCTTCGTAAGTTACCTCTGCCACTTCAGTTCTAATAGGGCTCCCCTGGGGGACTAACTTGACATTCCAAACAGAATCCTCCCGTAAACCAACCGGTATAGGGACGGCAAAAGTTGTCAATTTCGAATCATCGCTGTCGAAAGGCCGCAACAGTTGTTCGAGCTTGATTTGGAGAGTCCTAATCCCTTCCTTATGTTTACCAGCATTTGAAGATCCATAATCTCCCTATAAGTAAACAAATTAAAGAAGATGAAACCGAAAATCAAACTAATACTTAATTTACAAACATTCTCACCTTATCTTTCTTTTTGTTCCAGATTAATAAAGAGAAACAATTCAATTTTGCCATTTGAGGAAAAGGCTTGCAACTTGAGAAGGTCTCCCTGAGTGCTTTAAAACAGAACAAACCAGTTAAACTCCATTGAAAAACATGTCTTATTATAGTGTTAGATTAACAAAAAAGCAAGCATCTTTATTGTCTTTATTATGTATGAATCGATTCTCTGTTTCATGGTAAACAAGTCAAATGAAATTAACCACCATTGCAAAACAAAACAACCTCTGAAAATTATTTTAAATCTCTAAAAACCCTTAGAGGACCATACTCCTTAAGTAGAGACCTTAGAATTTCTCTGAGACACTGCGTTATCTTCGAAACTATCCTTTATCAGGATTACACTTTGAAGTCTATATTCCACAATTTTTGTCGTGACATTTGCCAGTCAAATATGTATAGGTTGTCAGTCTATTGACATGATGATCATGGGTCTGGCACTAACCACCCTAGGGTCGAGGTATTTATACTTTGAGGAAAGACTTGAAGGGGAGTCTCACTTTCCCTAACTCTCTCATCTGCATTATTAATCTTCTCTCTTATGATACCTTTTTTCTTCTTCCTCTCATAAAAAACCATCACCTAATAGTTGTCTTTACAACGAATATGACTATCGAGGAAGCTGAGGAGACTTTTATAGATTTACGATGATCAACATTAGATTTGAGGAAATAGTCTTCATATTCGAGTTTAGGAAATAGAATTCATATTCAATTTCATTATATCTTCAAATTCTTTAAGGAAAATAATTCTTGTATTTTTTAATTTAGTGGACATTTTAATTTTACAAATAAATTAGGCAAATAATTATTGTATTTTTTTTAATTTAGTGGACATTTTAATTTTACAAATAAATTAAGAGATTATACCAATAAGTGATTGATTATTTTACATAAAGTAATTGACTTTTAAAATAAATAAGTCAGTTTCGATCACCTCATTCTACTTTCATTATTGGTTTTTCAAGTAATGTAATTGGACATAGATACAATAATTCTTACATTGATATTCGTTTGTATCATATGATTATAAACATGACACTATGCATATGTTTTTTTGTAAATTTTGTTATATAAATAATTTATTTTATGTAAAACTTTAATTAATTTTTTTTATTTCGTGTGTTATATTTTAGTTGATTTATTAAAAATCACATCATGATAAAACTATCATATCTAACAACTAACGTGTTCGACCTTTGTCAATTGAGCTTTAGTAGTTGAGATTTAATAACAATAATAATAATAAATTTAAGATTTTATTTAAATTTATTTTAATCTAAATTTGAATATATTTTAGTATTAATTTAATAATAATTATGATAAGAATTATTTAAATGTATATTAAAACATATGTGATAGTGATTTTAAAATTACACTAACCAGACGATCTTAATAGTTAAAAGAATTATTGTTATTTTTAGAAGTTTCAGGTTTGAGCACAAAGATTATAGAGTATTTAAGCATTTATTACTAAATGATTGAGAATCTTTAGAATATATATTATCATTTATTACCACCTTAGATTAATAATAAATAAATAAAAACTTAAAATAACTGACGTCTTCCTTTTTTATGATTTTATTTATGATTGGACCACGATGGAATTGGCATGCTCAGTCACGTAATCAAACTATAATTATTCAAAATAAACCAATAATTTAACTAAACCTGGAGCACTCATTTGTCTCTCTTATAATGCATCCAGGGAAGGCGAAACTTCTTGGAAGTTTCGGTGTTTCAACGCATTTCATTTAAAAATCCTGTAATAATGTTTGGAAAAAAAATTAATTATTCCCTTCTTAATAACATTTAAATTTTAGATATTATTTTCAATTTCAATAACCCTTCAATTTTGCTGTTAATTTAAGAATGTAAGTTTATGAACTAACTTACTTCCGTGATTAAATAAATTGTAGTTGTTTCTAGAGGTCGTGAGTTCGAGCACCAGCGATTGCAAGAGATTGAGCGTTCATTATCAAATGATTAAGAGTAGTTAGATCAAATATTACTTTGTAATCACCTTTAACTCAATCAAAAAAATTGTAAGTCTTCCACGTGTGTTATCATATTTCACATATTATAAATTTATATATAATTTTTAAGCGGGTTGATAATTTTTTTGATGTATTTACATATTTATAATCATATGATGTATTTATAATTTATTTGTTTTGAACCAATCGTTAGTTACTCATAAATTTTGAAGAGCATAGTCACCAGCAATGGGGATATACATATCTCTTGGGGACATGAAGAGCCATTAATAAGTTAATGTGCATAATTTTTTTAATGTAAAAGTTAATGTGCATAAAGATGGGCAATCCAGGTGACATGTCCGGGCCTTATAAGGACATTAACATCATTGCTTCATGTAACCTCATTTACAAGATTATAGCAAAGGTTTTAGTTAATAAACTTAAGGTGTTACGATTATTTTTATATCAACTCATCAAATGACCTTAATGATTAAGTATGGGTATTTAATTATAGTTATGATGATGTTCCCTACTATGGACTCTCAGATTGAATTTTGATACGTGATTTCATGTTCGTGGATAGTTTCTCACGATGCTCAACTCTTATTTACGGTTCTCAGTGATTTTTCAATAGTTTAATCTTCTTTTGTGGTTCGTTCGCTGATGCAGTCAAATTTGTTTGTATTTATTTATAGTTCGAGTCTTTTGATTGAGTTTTTAACATTTTTCATGTATGGTCCTTGTATTCTAAAGTGACTAATTTCTTGTTTCAATGTTATAGGGAAATTGTCATACCCCTAAAATTTTAATTTAAAAAAATCTTTTCAATTTAATTAATTTAAATAAGGGATCAGAACGAATATTTTTTAAATTTACTGAGTCGGATTCAAATATTTAGGAAGTTCAAGGACTCAACCTTGAAGTTTCTCATTTTTTATCAATAAAGAAAATAAAAAAACGTGCGGCTAATGGGATTTGAACCCCTATACAAAGAACAGGTGTAACCATCCCCAACCAACTAAGCTAAGTGACTTAAACTATTTTTTTGAGGTTATCTGGCTCGAGTTATAACCCTTAAACTATTTTCTCAAATCAGAGTTCAAAACCCAAATTTCCTAAACCCTAAAATCCCTAAGTTCTCTCGTCGTCCCTTCGCCTCCGATCAATTATTTGACCATCGTGACCATCATTGCCACCATCATCCGACTCGCCATCGTCCTCCGACCAAAATCTCTTTGGTCTTGCACTTCTCATCGTCATTTGTTGTGAAAAGCCCCTCGAATTGTAGTCGAAAAACTAAACGATCGCCACTGATTTTACCATTTTCCAATAGAACCGATCGTTGTTTCATCACACCACCACCTCCATTGGTTTTCCCGGCGTCATACAATCAAAAGCTAGTCAGTTTTGTCTCCCCATCATCACGCCACCATCGTACGTCGTTAGGGTAAGTTTTCGAACATTTTCTATTATTTTAGCATGATTTTGGATTGTTCTTGGTATGGTGTTGGTTGATTTAAGTGTGTAGATGAACTAAGAGTAAACGGGTCGTCGAAACAACCTCCATCGTTGTCGCACGCATCACCCCTACGCACGGGGCTTCTCAACCGGCTCTTGAACCTTTTGGAACTGGTATGCTTAAACCAAACCGGTCTGGTCATACCGAATTGGGTCAAACCGATCCAAACCGAGTCAATCCAAATAGTGTCAACTCGAACAGAGTCAACCCAAATTGAGTCAACTCAAACTAAGTCAACCCATTAACTTTAACTTTGACCAACATTGACTTTGACTTTGACCAAAAAGTCAAATTTTTCGAAAACTCATATTTTTTGTTTTTCAACGTCTTGAGTTCGAATTCGAAGTCTGTTTCATCAAATTCTAACCCGAAAGCCTCTGAATTGATCAATAGACATGAACATGCATATATACTTAAGTATTTTATTTAAGCGTAATTAAATTAAGGACAATGATTGATTTAAGATATTTATTAAAGGTACTCGTGACTATCCTGACTGTTCGACAGCTCGACCCAACTCCTATCGATTCGTTCGACCCCGTAAGCCAGTGATTACTCGTATGATTCGTGAAGCTTATGAATATTCAGATTTAAATAATACTTTGATAATAACTCTATTTCATCATGATTTAGGTTCGAGCACCGCTGTAGAGCGTGGCGAGACAAGTGCTCAGTAGACTCCTGGATTGATCCTTTTTGCAAGGTGTGTTCCATGTGTGCTATATGACTGTTTTACATGATTATTCTATCTAATTTGAATATGAATAAAATATCTGATTTTAATCCTAATTCCCGATTCTTGAATTACTGGTCATGAAATATGATTGTCTAATACATGTTCTCTGGTTACTTGTTTTATTGAATAACGAATATGTCTCATTTATGATTTATTGTATTCACTGATATTATATAAATTGTTTTTATTGTGCTATTTTCTAGGATTTACATGGAGTTTTTGAGGTACAACTCCATCAAGCTAGTAAATCCTTATGGACCTAAGGCAACCCTTGGGTGGGATCGTAGGCCCATTGGGCCTAGGGTAAGACCTTATGGACCTTACGGTACTTCCTTATGGTTGCTTCTCTTCTTTGTGCATTGGGTAAGTTCTTATGGCCTGGGGGTATCCCCAGGTGAGCTCTTACGCTTTGGCTAGGGTAAGCCCTTACGACACAAGGTGCTCCCTTAGGGTGTGTTTGTTTCACGGAATGTAAGATTACCAGTGGGAATGTAAGATTACCAGGGAATAGGATTATTGGGAATGTTGTATTTTGTGTTTGGTTGGTTTAGCAGGAATGTAAGATTATCGTGTTTGGTTAAAGGAATAAAAGATTATTGGAATGTATATTTGACCAAATTGTCCTTATTATATATTTGTTTTTTAAACAAGTTGGAAAATATTTATATATATTTTTTTAAAAATTTAAATTCATAAAATTTATATTTTTTTACAAAACTGAAAAATATAAAAAGGTTTAATGAAAGGGTAAAATTTTATTTTAACCCCTGAACTTCATATAAAATTTTAATTATA